TGAAGGTTGCATTTATTTCTGCAGATTGTTGAAAAGAGGCCAGCCCTGTCAGTCACACAGAAAGGTGTTTTTATTTGGGCACCATAATGTACTATGCCTCTTATCCTCTTAACAATCAAGCAGGTATTTTTATCATATGATTTATGCTCTCATTGTCATGATTTTTTATGTATTGCACATCTGCAAGGCCTAGTCAAGAAAAATCACCTCAGCAACAAAAAAAAAACACACAACCCAAATATCTTTAATTAGGTGAAGCACACCCTTAGAACTTTTAAAAGCAAACTTACTTGTGAATTCATTGACAATTTATTCTGTGTTTCAAGGGTGGGTGTGGGAAATTTTGAGGCTGATATACTGCATTATTCACACATCTCAACAGAGATTCAATGCTCTGTTTTAAAAGTGTGAATTTCATATCTTTAATCGTGACATTTCTCCTACTATGTTCAATCAGAAGTGAAGTATTTTCAGTGTAACCTTTTAGCTTCTTACCAGATCAGTGTTATTTGTTGTGCATTGGTTATCCGAGAACAGAGATTACTCTGAACACTAATTGTGTCAGGTCAGTAAACGGGTACAAAACTGTAGTTATTCTGAGCACAATGTGGAGTCAGATCTACCCACAGCTAAGCCGTGTAAGTGTGGAGGGGATGAAAGAGAATGCTGGCTCTTAACACAGATACATTCCCACAAAAGAGACACAGAAGAACATTAGTCAGCTGTGTGGGAGGAATCTGCTTGGGTGAAGTCCCATTTTACCTCGTTTTCACTTTTTACATAATGACCACTTATCACATTATGATTACAGCCCACTGATTCTGATTGTGACTACGGTCAAGCTAAGGTTGTGTTTGCCATGCCTCCTGTTTTGATGATGGACCAAGGAGTCCTTAACCTACTAATTCATAAAAAAGAGCTTGTTTTGCTTATATGCATTCATGCAAGAAAAGGATTAAAACAGTCCCAGGTTTCTTCATTCTTCTTTGTGCCTGGAATACTAGCAAATAATTATCTCCTTTCTATCCAATATAAATTAACTGGTACAAAGAAAACAAAAGAATGTGACATCTGAGTCTGCCCTGGTTTTCTGGTGTTTTGGCATATTATAGAGAAGGGAAACAGGAGACGAAGCAACTTAATTCAAACCTCCTGGACTATTAATTTTTGGCATGCTTTATGAGCTGAGAACTTTATCACTAAATTCTGTTGAAGTGCAGAATCCAAAGGATGATTGCATTTTGAGCTGTATCTGAGGCCCTTCCATACCATAGATGCAAAGCAGCACCATACCTCTATAAACAGTCGTGGGTTTCCTCAAAGAATCCTGGGAACTGTAGTTTGTTAGGGGTGGTGAGAGTTGTTGAGACTCTCCACAGTTACAATTCCCCAAGTGCTATAGGAAACATGATTGACTGTTAAACCAGAGTGATATCACCTGCCGCTGAAAACTACTGCACAGATCGGGAGTTTCTTTGTCAGCCTTGTACAATACCCGTGTTAATCTTAGAATCGCAGAATCAAAGAACTGTAGAGTTGGATGGGACCCTGAGGATCATTTAGTCCAACCCCCTGCGATGCAGGAAAATGCAGGTCTCCCATACGGGGATTGAACCTGCATCTTTTTTGTATAGTTGCAATTTTGCTGTGTAAAAGCAAAAATCTACCCCAGCTTCCCTTTCCCCACAGCAGCCAACAAGATGCCTTTGAGAAGCCAATGAGCGGGACATGAGAACAATAGCCACCTCCCATGTTGCAGCCCAGTAAGTCTCAAGAGACACATTGCCTCTGATTTTGGGTGAAGCATGTAGGAACCATGACTAGTAGCTCATGGAGAGTCCAATGCATACGTGTTCCTGAAGAAAACGTCAGTGTTCAATCCTCACGACCAGGCACAGGCAAACTCGGCCCTCCAGATGTTTTGAACTACAACTCCCATCATCCCTGACCACTGGTCCTGTTAGCTAGGGATGATGGGAGTTGTAGTCCCAAAACATCTGGAGGGCCGAGTTTGCCTATGCCTGCTCATTACCCATGTGATAAATCCAAATTTGTATGGGACTTATAGACTAGTATGAAGATGCCGTTCCAAACTTTATTTCCATAGCTATGAGCAGGGCCCCTGTTCTGTTTGCATTGTTTTAAAATTAAGCAGAGTACTTACATATGGAGGGAAAATGACATAGTATGAATATTACTTGAATAAAAACAGAAAGGATTGCAGTGGTATGTTGTGTGGTAGTCCTTGGACCCTTGCTTAGCTTTTGGCAAGGAATCTGAGCCCAAACTTAACTTTTCATGAGTCCTATAGGGCAAATCAATCACTCGCCAGCTTTTGAGCTCTCTTGGACTTTTAGGATTCCAAAGGCAATGTCCTCTACTTGTATTTACAGAGGACACTGAGACAGAGGCAGGTGGAGCAGCGACTCACATGCCAGGTACCGGATCCCAGCATGATATGCAATAATGACCTGTCACGAAAGTAGGCTGTGTACCGTCACACTGTGAAATATCCTGGGGGACATCCTTTATGAATTCTAAAAAAGATACAGCAGCCCTTCAGGCAAGAATGAAGTCACAAATCATTTAAATATTTCTTTTGTGCCTTCCTCTAAGTATATTTCCCTCTTGTTTTCCGATTTATTTGTATTTGTATTTCTTGTAATATGCTGCATAAAGGATGCATTGAAACGGCCTAAGTTTTACCTCAAAAATGTTGTATTTGCTCAACTGTTGCACCAACCCATACACTAACATTAGCACATCTCTGCTCCCAAGTAAGGAAATAGAAAAGTGAGAGAGAAAGAACAATTTGCTTCTTCATCTTCATAGCGTGATGTGAAGTTGGCAAAAGGCATTTAACATTCAATCCAGGAAAGCTTTGCAGGATGCTGTTTCCTGTATCTGGCATATGTCACAATGTCTAGGCTGGATACAAGATCTGTTGCAGGGGTGAGGAACCTCAGGTCTGGGGGGCCAGTGCAGCCCTTCAAAGTCTCCTTATCTGGCTCTTATAAATCTTTCTAAACCACACCCCTCTGTCCCCTGGCCACAGCTACTTTCTTGATTTTCCCTATTTTTCTAGGCCTTCACACTTCTGTCCCTTTACCACTGGATTATTCTTCCGGGTTCAACCCACATATCAGGTATTTTGAGAACTGGCAATAATACTAATACTAATTTATTATTTGTACCTCGCCCATCTGGCTGGGTTTCCCCAGCCACTCTGGGCGGCTTCCAACAAAGATTAAAAATACATTAAAATGTCACACAATAAAAACTTCCCTGAACAGGGCTGCCTCCAGATGTCTTCTAAATGTCAGGTAGTTGTTTATCTCTTTGACATCTGATGGGAGGGTGTTCCACAGGGCGGTCGCCACTACCGAGAAGGCCCTCTGCCTGGTTCCCTGTAGCTTTGCTTCTCGCAATGAGGGAACCGCCAGAAGAGGCCCTCGGCGCTGGATCTCAGTGTCCAGGCAGATGGGGGTGGAGGCACTCCTTCAGGTATACTGTGCTGAGGCTGTTTAGGGCTTTAAAGGTCAACACCAACACTTTGAATTGTGCTCGGAAACATACTGGGAGCCAATGTAGGTATTTCAATATTGCCAGGCCATACCTCATGGCATTATATCATTAAGCCTTGCCATGTGACAGACACCATCAACATACTGCACAACTGTCCTGTCTTAAGCAGAACATCCCAGAATTACAGGAACTCTCCCGGCTTCTGATTGTATTCTAGGATGTCCCACTTGGGCTCCTATGTTCTGGCTGCACCAGAGTACAGGACTAAAAGACATGTGTTTTCGGGTCCCATGCTCTGGTGCAGGTTCCCACAAGAATGCAGGACAACCCTGGCAAAATCTGGCAACCCTGCAAAAGTTTCCACATTTCATTACAAAATGGTGATAATGATGCAGCAGGATAGTCAACTGATTAAGAATAAAAAGGGGCAGGAACAAATCTGGAATTAACATGTCGGAAAAGAGGGGAGAATATCACCAAATCATGAGGTAAAGTACAGCACCTGTGTATGGCTGGATAATATAGTACAGAATTTTTTACATTATCTGTTGAAATTATGCAGTGAGTCACTCTTGCTCCGGGGCTGCCTGCATTGTTATATCTGTTCCTCTTAAATACACAGGAGAACAGCTTTTAACAGGGTCCCCAGCACTACCCCCCTCTCTTTGCTATTCTGCATATATTCCAGACATTAGATGTTCCAGAATACTTTCTGAGGTATGCTAAGCCTTTCATGTGGCTCTTTTTGGTGTATCAATGGAAAAGGGCTCATCATTTCTTTGCCGTAAAAGATGAGGGAAATCACAGTAAAAAGCACCCGGCCCATGGGATAAAAGGTAGCCATTTACCATTCTAAATAAAGATTTGAGCCCCTGAATTTAAATTACCTGATTTCTATAGGGGGCTGGGTGAGAAGGGGAATGAGGAGTGAGTCAAGATTCTTTTTTTAAATAAATAAATAAGGGCTCCATCCCCGCTATATCCACTTCTTAATTTAACTCCTGGTGAGTACACCTTGTGTTCTGCTTGTCTTTCTATATAAGCAAGTGAAGAAGCAATCACAGGGAGAGTGATGACAGCTCTGAATCCATAATAAATTCAACCCAAGGTGCCCTTTTGCATGCATTAGACTTGTGGGTATTTTAGATATGCGGTTTGGAACGATTGCCTCTCCCACTGTAACACCTCCCAAAATAATTTCAGAAGCAGGGGCTACTGAGATTATTATTATTATTTCCCCTCTGTATATGAAAGAGAGAGATTTTATCACAGCGGCTCTGCTGCACAAACACAAACATCAAACAATAATTAAGAGCATACAATATCCCCCCCCCCGCAAAAATATTTATGCCTTGAGGCCTGTCTCTACATCATTCATTTAAATTGTTCATTTAAAACGATCTCCCGGTTTAAAATTCATGTGTTTCCCAAATAGGCACACATCACATTTTGCACATATTATGCCATGATAGTACCTTGCAGATGGTGTTGGACCATCAGCCACTGCCAGCATGGTCAATGGTCAGGAACAATGGGAGCTGTTGCAGTACTGGATCTACAGATTTTGCCATGGGGGACAAAGGTCTGCGCTGCTGTGAATATTCCTGTGAATAAACCTTGACACAAACACTCACATTTGCAGAAGATCAGGAAGCATTTCTGACTCTTCCTTTTCAGCAACAACTCACTACCCCCATCTTTGCTACGACAGAGAGGGGAACCCAGAAATGGATTTTTTTGTGCAAGGATAGCAATCTTGGCTGAGATACACAAATGACCATGCATATCTGCCCCTTCTTCTATTTTACACTTGGGGCTAGATGATGGACCTCAGGGAGGTATTTGGGGTCATGGTGGTGGTGGTAAGTAGCTCCCACAAGGTTGAAGTCCATCTACCCCTGGTCCACTGGGGCAGGTGGACCAATGGACTAACTCAATATAACTCTCTAGCTCTCTATGATCCTACATGGTGTTATGGAAAGAGTGTGGCCCCAAGGCCTGAGGTTTCTTATCTCTGAGAGAAGCAGGGATTCAGGACACCTCCATGGGAGGAATCCTATGCAGAGACCTTTGCCAAAGCCCCTTAAGAGGAGGACTTCTAAGCACCATTTGTTCCAGAAACTGTGATCCCATCAACAGTTCTGGAAACTGGCGGCCACATGGCAGACCTAGATGTAAACCACCCTTCATAAGCCATCAAACCCAGCTCTTACTATTGCTCTATTCCTCTGTGGCGTAAGCATGGTGCTCACAGGTGGCCTATTGGATAGGACTGAATTTCTAATGAAAGCAGGAAGATCTTCTAGGTGCTCATCATCTCTGCCAGCTCAGGGTCCTCAATCCACAACATTCCACCCTACTGCAAAGCTTCAGGAACCTGAATCTTCACCTCATCTCGTTTAACGGACAATGATCTATAGAGGCAGGGCTAAGAAGGGTTTTCCCCATGTCTCTGTTACGAAAAAGGAGCAATGCAGAAGCGAGCTCCAGATGGCTGGAAAGCCAAACAGGATGTTGATGCTTGTGACTGTACCGTGGGAACAAAGGGGCAGTCTATTCACTGTGCTGAGCACCGGATGTTAGCTCAGAGTGTCATCTGACCTGTGCTGGAAGTACAGGGGAGGAGTTTTCCCCTCTCTGCTGTTGGTGTTAAGAGAGTACAGACACGTTTCTCTGTACTGCAGAAAAGACAGAAATAAAAGCATGTAAATACATTTCTGTCTGTCTCTTTCCCATCCCTGGGGAATGGCAGGGAGGAGGGGGAGTGGTGTGTTCTTCTCACGTTAGAGGAGGATCGCCGATAGAGGCTTCGCCTGATCTTGCCGGGAGTCGCAGACGGGGGAAGTCAAAGAATTAAGCCCGGTGCCTGGAGAGTGGCCAATTCCTCTGATAAGGCTTGGCTTGATTCTGACAGTCTCAGCCAGTTCAGCCCTATTTTCACATTCCCTCCCTCCTCTTCTGAGGTTTTAGTGCCTTCAAGTAATCTGGCCTGCATCTCCCACTGTCATTCATTTGGTGGGTAAGGAGGCAGGAGAGGTCTGAGGCAGGGAGCCTGCAGTACAAGTACAAGCTTTGCAGAAAATTTGAAAGCCTAATCACACAAGTTTAGACAACGGTCATCTAAATTCTGTTGCAAGCCTGATGCAGTCAAATGTTGCATGCTTCTGAAAAATCCTTGGATGTCAAACGCTGCTTGATACCAAACATTTGCCAGCTTTCACACATGGAAGAATATGCAGAAAACTTCAAAATCCATAGGGGTGGGGTGTTTTTTTCTGGGTGGGGGCATATTGGTTTCAGCCTAAGAGCATATGCATGCCTGCATGCATATTAAAATACTACAACAAAAGAGTGGGAGTGTGGGCTTTCTCTTTATTTCATTTGAGAGTTGACTGGCATTATTTTCCATCAGCATTCTCCACCCTCGACACCTCCCTATTATTAGTGAAGGTTCTCTGACAGCATTCCCTTAATAAATGTATATGGGACATAATTTAATTAATCTGATCCATTTTTCGGGGCAACAGATGTTTGAGCTTGTTTATTGATTGCACACAGCCGTCAAATGAGCAATAATGATTAAAATACTCACAAGCATATTTCAGCAAAGTGATAAACCTCATTAGATTACCGAAAAGGGAGGCATTTTCCAGCAGCCATATCTTCTTCTATGCATCCAAAGAAAAGGAAAGATGAATAATGGAGGCACATCTAAATCCCAACATGGAAGTAAAGAAACAAAAACATTGTTTTCCTCATCTGTAGCTATAGCCACAGATTCTATGGCTAGGACCATACACAGAGCATTAGGATTTATTATTATTATTTAATCTATGTCCCACTTTTCCTTCACGAGCTTAAGATGATGAACATGACTCTTCCCCTGTCCATTTTATCATCACAGGGAGGTTAGATGGAAAGACAGCAGTTGGTCCAAGGTCACTTGGTGAGTTTCATGGCTGAGCAGGGATTTGACCTCTGGGCTCTCAAGTCCTAAGTCACAGGCTAAGTTCCTGACTCTTACCCTCTGCCTTCAACTGAGTCAGACCATTGGTCCATCTAACTCAGTATTTCTACATCAACTGGAAGTGGCTCTCTAAGGCTCCAGGCAGGGGACATTCCCAGTCCTACCTGGAGAAGGTTGGGTTGAACTTGGGACCTTCTGCATGTAAGGGAGATGTTTTGCCACCACACCATGATGACTCTGTTTCACACATGTATGGTCAATACCTGATGCCCATCATGGGTCTAACTGCATACATGGCAGGCTTCCTTTCACCTCACTTCCTCTCAAACACAAAAGGGAGTCAGAGCCTACATTCATCTAAAAGCTCTCAAAAGGTAAAGTGATACACTTGCACATGTGAACTGGCTGTTTGTGAGCTGGAGAAGTAGTAAAAGGGGGGGGAATGCTTACAACATGGATATTTATTGTCTATTGCATTAAAACCTATTATATATTTTGACTTCTCAGCTTTTATCCCACTACAGCTTAAAACAGCAGTTTTCAGATATATTTTGAGTAGCTTATTGGAATTGGCACACGTCAACCATCACAATTATATGTTGACTATGCAGAAGCGCATCCCCAGATAAATGGGCATAGAATTTTCTTATTCTTAATTATATATAAAATTATGTCTAGACTGCCCCTCATGCAAAATATCAGGGTGGTGTACAACAAGAGCCACACATAAAACTTCATAAAAGTGAAACAGAATGCAGCCTGGGACTCATTTTTCATAATTCTACAGACATCAAATTATACTAGGATTCCTTGAGTGAAGAACACAAAAGCCCATAATTCATATTAGGGCAATACCTTTATTAGGCCAAACAAAAGAGTGAGCAAGCCTTCAAGTTCTCCAACTTCATCAGATTAGAGAATATATATATATATATATATTTGCTTTCGTAGATTTTCACGGGTACAGGAATGCAGGTTTTGGTGTCCTCGGGTGTCTTCCCGTGTAAAAGTTGGGGTGTCTAGGCGACGTTTCGACGAGGTCTCAGATAGATGACGAGTGAGACCTCGTCGAAACGTCGCCTAGACACCCCAACTTTTACACGGGAAGACACCCGAGGACACCAAAACCTGCATTCCTGTACCCGTGAAAATCTACGAAAGCAAATATATATATATATATATATATATATACACACAGTGGTGCCTCGCAAGACGAAATTAATTTGTTCCGCAAGTTTATTCTTCTTGCGAGTTTTTCGTCTTGCGAAGCACGGTTTCCCATAGGAATGCATTGAAAATCAATTAATGTGTTCCTAGGGAAACCGCTTGCCAGGCTGGCGGTGCGGAGAAGGGCTTTTCTCCCCACCGCAAGCCTTCAGGACAGGTACGGGAACAGAGGGGAAGGCGCGCAGCGCTTTCCCTCTGTTCCCGGGGCTTGCGTGGGAGGAGGGTTTTTCCTCCCCACCGCCAACATTCAGAACAGCATTCTGAATGTTGGCGGTGGAAGGAAAACCCTCCTCCCACCCCAAGTCTTCAGGAAAGCCATCCAAAGGCTGGCGCGGGGAGAAGGTGTCCCCGCCCCCCCGCCCGGCATCGGAGCTTCGTTCCGATGGCGGGCGGCGGGAGAAGGTGTCCCCCCCCGCCCGGCATCGGAGCTTCGTTCCGATGGCAGGCGGCGGGAGGAGGTGTCCCCGCCCCCCCGCCCGGCATCGGAGCTTCGTTCTGATGGGCGGCGGGAAGAGGTGTCCCCGCCCCCCCCGCCCGGCATCGGAGCTTCGTTCTGATGGCGGGCGGCGGGAAGAGGTGTCCCCGCCCCCCGCCCGGCATCGGAGCTTCGTTCTGATGGCGGGCGGCGGGAGGAGGTGTCCCCGCCCCCCCGCCCGGCATCGGAGCTTCGTTCTGATGGCGGGCGGCGGGAAGAGGTGTCCCCGCCCCCCCGCCCGGCATCGGAGCTTCGTTCTGATGGCGGGCGGCGGGAGGAGGTGTCCCCGCCCCCCCGCCCGGCATCGGAGCTTCGTTCCGATGGCGGGCGGCGGGAGGAGGTGTCCCGCCCCCCCGCCCGGCATCGGAGCTTCGTTCCGATGGCGGGCGGTGGGAGGAGGTGTCCCCGCCCCCCCCGCCCGGCATCGGAGCTTCGTTCCGATGGCGGGCGGCGGGAGAACGCGTCCCCGCCCCCCCGCCCGGCATCGGAGCTTCGTTCCGATGGCGGGCGGCGGGAGGAGGTGTCCCCGCCCCCCCGCCCGGCATCGGAGCTTCGTTCTGATGGCGGGCGGCGGGAGGAGGCGTCCCCGCCCCCCGCCCGGCATCGGAGCTTCGTTCTGATGGCGGGCGGCGGGAGAACGCGTCCCCGCCCCCCGCCCGGCATCGGAGCTTCGTTCTGATGGCGGGCGGCGGGAAGAGGTGTCCCCGCCCCCCGCCCGGCATCGGAGCTTCGTTCTGATGGCGGGTGGCGGGAGGAGGTGTCCCCGCCCCCCCGCCCGGCATCGGAGCTTCGTTCCGATGGCGGGCGGCGGGAGAACGCGTCCCCGCCCGGCATTGGAGCTTTGTTCCGATGGTGGGCGGCGGGAGGAGGTCCGAGGACAGTGGGGAAGACACGCTGCGCTTCCCCGCTGTCCCGGAGATTTCCCTATGGGCTTTTGTCTTGCGAAGCAAGCCCATAGGGAAAATCGTCTTGCGAAGCAACTCGCAAACGGAAAACCCTTTCGTCTAGCGGGTTTTCCGTCTTGCGAGGCGTTCGTCTTGCGGGGTACCACTGTATATAGTTAACTAAATGTAACCTATTCACCTATTACAAAGCAGGCAAGCCATTTACAACAAGAGGCTAGAACAAGTTGGGATGTCATTGCTATTATCAGTAGACAGACAATAAATCAAAGTTCAGTAAAACAGAAAGCTTTTAAGCCTTAGCAAGTTGGGTCAATCAACTGAGTGCCTCACTCATAATGAGAAAAAGGTTGGAAAGGCAATGATAGGACTCAGGTGGCAAATGTTACAGTGATGAAAGAGACCGTAATGCTTCTTAAAAAACAAAAGCAAGAAACCAAGAGGGAAATGTAATTTAGATGTAAGGACTAAAATGAGTACAGAAGCAAAGGAATAAAATCCAGACTTCTAAAATTAAAGCAGCCTATTTCAACATAGTCTGAACAAACACTTATGCTGAGCAAGGGTTCCATCCAGCTTTCTGTATCAAGCAGAACTGAACTCCCCCTAGATCAGCTGATCATATATAATGACACCAGGTGTGGGGCAGATGTGTGTGGTTCTGGTGGAAACAGCCTTGTAAGTTAAATATCACCCTAGGATAAGAGGTATGCCATTTTGTTGAATGGGATTAGCCTCTTCATCAGCCTCTAGAAACAATACGTATCACCCTGCTTTTGTCCAGAGATCTTGGGCAGGAAGTAGAACATCAAAGGGTAACAAATCTAGCCACAAACATCATTTTAACAAAGCACTCCCAAAAGGGGAAAAGAGGGGGGAAAGTGAGACAGTAATCTACTATGGAGAGATGCCTAAAAATAGGTAGCCCGGACACATGGGAGGTATGAG